TTATTTGTTTGTTTATCACAATGTTTGTTATTGGCCCGGTTGTGAGGTTTCTGTTTTCTTTATGTTGATGTATAAATCATACTGATGTCAGAAGTCTTTGTTCTCCATCAATAATTATTTCTTGTCTTCTTCATTTTCAGTAAGCAAGTTTGTATCATCTTTATAATACAGATTGTTAATAAGTCTTCTTCCAATCCTGATACCACATTCTTTGTCATCTAGTTCAATTTTTCAGATTATTTGATCTGCATACAGATCAAACAAGTGTAGTGAAAAAAAAATACAATCCTGACACACTTTTCCTGATGTGAAATCACGCAGTAGTACCTTTTATTGTAGTTATTTGTTATTTTTTTAGTCTACGTATGAGTTTTGCATTAGTACAATGATGAGTTCTCCAATTTCCACAGTTCGCAATGCTATCCATAATTTTTCATAATTCACAGTTGAATGTCATTGTATAGTCAATAAAACACAGGTAAGGATCTTTCTGGTATTTTCTGCTTTCAACCAAGATTGCTCTGACTTCAGCAATGACATCCCTCATTCTATATCCTTTTTTTAATCCATTGTACATTTTATAGTTCCCTGTCTATGTACTGCTGCAACTTTTTCTGAATTTTCTTCCATTAAAAAAATGTTGTGTGTGATTGATGATAAAGAACTTTCAAAACTCATTGCTATCAAGTTGGAATACTATTGGGTCACGTTGTTGTTGTTGTTGTTGTTGTTGTTAAGTGCCGTCAAGTCGCAGGCGACTCATAGCGACCCTCTGAAGGAGAGTCCTCAATGCTTGGGTGTCTCTCATCCTCCTTTCAGGTTCATAGGGTTTCCGGAGGCAAGCTATTATGGAAGTGGATGCACTCCTCCTTCCTATTGGGTCATAGTAACCCTCTATTTGGTTACTGGGGCTGTAAATCGCACAGGCGGAGGCTGCTCATCTTTCTCTTGGTGAGCCACTGGTGGATTTGAACTATCAGAGAAGACTTGGTCTTTGAATTAGTAGTGCAACTCTCTATGGACTACCTACCAGGCCTTACAATGCTGATATTGTTCAATAATTGCCACATTCTGTTGAATCACCTTTCTTTGAAAAGTGCACAGGTATGGAAGGTATTGTGTCAGGATGATGACATGACAGAGTTAGGCGAACTGTGGCTTAGTAGAAGGGAACTACATTGTCAACCCAAAGGCACTTGGTTCGAATCCACCAGCTGCCGTGTGGAAGAAAGATGGTCAGTTTCCTTCTGTGTGATTTACTGCTTATGAAAGCCCATTGGAAAGTCAGCTATGAGTGGGTTCCAATTTGACAGCACACAACAACAACAACATCTATACAAGGGCAAAGTTCCATTCTCTTCTTCATAGGATTGCTATTAGTCATAATTGACCTGAAGGCACCTAACAGCACTACATCCTCACAAGATTTGAAATTGATTTTGGTTGTAGATATGAAATGTGCACAGGGGTTCTGTGACTTTGGGGAAGGCAATTTACTTATCTGAACATCTGTTTCATTCTTTGCCAGTGGGGACATAATAACACCTATTTCACCAAGCAGTTTTGAGCATTAAATGAGCTAATACATATAAAACATTCAGCACAGTGGTCCATGAACAATAAGCATCCAAATATTAGCTACTAGTTATCTTAATTATTACCATGAAGGGAAATTCTTATTCACTATAGGTAAGAGTATAAAACTATAACCTGTCTGAAGAGCAGTAGACTAATAGATATAAAATGTTTAGATATAAAAACCTTTTGCTCTAGAACTTTCACATGAAAAAATTCATGCTTAGCAAGCAAGCTTAATGATTTGTCTCTCACATACATTAGGATCAGGAGGTGTGAACAAGCAAGTTTATCTCTGGATCACTTATAAATTAAAAAGACTGGAAACAACTTATAAATCCAGAAGTAGTTGTGTAAATCATGAAGAATACATATGGCAGCATACTCTGGGCCTATTAAAAAAGGGTGTGGTACACTTTTATATAAATATATAGACATACATCTTTGCCATTATGTAAAAGGAGGTGACAGAACAGTGTCGTCTCATTTTATATGAGAAAGTATGTGGTGGTGGTGTTGTTGTTGATTGCCACCGAGTCGAGCATGGCTCATTGTGACCCTATGAACAAAAGGCTTAAAGCCTTTCTATAATTATGGACATTTATCAAAATTCCGAATTTCCAGAGGCATATTGTTTAGAAAGTGGATGCCTCTTTCCAAACTGGTCTTAAACTAGGAGTTCCACCTAACACTCTCCACCATGGGGAACCATTATAGCATTTGACACCCCAATGGCACAAGGTTCAGTGTCACAGCAACCCTAGGTTACCTCAGTACAGCATATTGACAGGAGAGTGCTGTACCACTTAGGGGAATGTTCCTCCAATATATAGTAACAACCAACTTTAAATACAAAGGCCATCCCCATTGTCTTGTTGACTCTAAACAAGAGGTTTAAATGAAAAAAAAAAACACCTAATATAGTATATTGTTGTTATGTGCCATTTAGTCACCTGCGATGACCCTATGTTCAGCAGCTCTGAACCTTTCCCTGTCCTGAGCCAGTCTCACTAATTCCAACACACCAACCCTCATTGCTCCAGCTACTGTATCAATCCATCACATCCAAGGTCTTCCTCTCCTGCACTGTCTGTCCACCGGAGCATGATGTCCTTCTCCAAGGACTAGTGTCTCCTGGCCACATGCCCAAAGTATGTGAGGCAGAGCTTCAAAATCCTAGCCTGCAAGAAGAGACTTGGTTTTGCCATCTCCAAGACAGACCGATTTTTTTCCTTGGCAGTCCCTGGTATGTTCAAGACTCTTCTGCAGCATCACAGCTCGAAGGCATGTATTCTTCTGTCATCTTTAGTCATTGTCCAACGCTTTGAAGCAAATCAAGTAATTGAGAAGACCATGGCCTGGATTAGGCACACCTTTATCTCTAGACTGACTTCATTGCTCTTTAGCACGCTGGAGAGGTCTATGACAGCAGATTTTCCCAATGCAATTCATCTTTTAATTTACTGACTGCTGGTATTAAGAGTGTTGATTGTGGATTTGAGCAAGCTGTAATTGCTAATAACCTCAACCTTTTCTCCATCTATGATGTTGTTGCCAATTGGCCCAGTGGTGAGAATCTTTGTCTTCTTGATGTTAAGCTTCAATCCATATTGAAGACTACACCGTCCTTGACCTTTTGAAGCAAGCGCTTGATGTCTTCTTCAGTTTCAGCATCAAGGTTGTGTCACCTACACATTGTAAGTTGTAAATGAGTCTTCCTCCAATCTTGATGCCACACTCCTCCTCATGAAGCCCTTCTTGAATGATCTATTCTTTATACAGATTGAAAAGGTATGGGGACAGGATGCATTTCTGATGCATTCCTTTCCTGATTTTGAAACATACGGTGTTTCCTTGCTCTGTTCTGACGACTACCTCTTGGTCTAAGTACAGGTTTCACATTAGCATGATCAAGTGTTCTGGGATTCCCATTTTCCTCAAGGTTAGCCACAATCTGTTGTAATTCACACAGTCAAATGCCTTTGCATAGTCAATGAAACACAGATAGACATCCGTCTAGTACTCTTTGCTTTCTACCAAGATCCATCTGACACTGACAATAATGTCTCTAGTGCCACGACCTCTTCTAAACCAATCTTGTACTTCTGGTAGTACTCTGTCAATGTACTGTTCCAGTTGTTTCTGGATAGTCTTCAGCACAACTTTGGTAGTGTGTGATATTAGTGATATTGTTTGATAATTTTCACACTCTGTCAGGTCACCTTTTTTGGGGAAGGGGAATAAATATGAATCTCTTCCAGTCAGTTGTCCAAGTAGTTGTCCTCCAGGTTTCTTGACACAACTTGGTGAGTACATCGAGGGCAGTATGTTTGCTGAAATATGTCAACTGGTATTCCATGTAAGGACAGATACCAAACAGTTATCAAAGACTACCTCTTCTGAGACTGTCACTTGATGTGAATTATTTGAAACTATAATATTTTATCATTTTTCATCAGAAAACTTAGTGAATATATATAGTCTTTATATGTGTTTGTGTGTATGTATGCATATATAGTTCAATTTCTGAAAGCTCCAAGCTCCAATGCGTGGCACAAAGCAGGTCTTTAATGCATCCTGATTTCTCTGCTCTGCTGGTCCCTGTGTTGCTGCTTTCAACTACCTGCAATCCCATTCTCTGCAATCTTCTATCCTTATTCTTCTGCACATGCTCTATGTAGCAGCCAAATTCAGTTACCTATCTTCTTTGTAGTCTCATCAGCGTTCATCAAACTGTTCTCTTATTCTACACTGCTCTCTGCCTCCTGCTACCTTTCTTCTTCCCTATACATGAAAATGCTTTTGGTCTATCAATGTCCAAGCATCAAATGTTAGCTTCTTCCCAAAGATGTCTCAGACCCCCATTTGTAATGCTTTGCTCCTTCCCTATCCTCCAGGCCACACACCTGCCTCTCTCCTAAGATATACCATGTTCTGCTTCAGAGAAATTCTCTGCAGGTGTATGGCTTTTGTCTGACTAGAGTTGAAGCTCTTTCAGTGAAAGTTCTTTGTCTCATTTATTTGTGTTTCCTTGGTCCTGGCTTGAGGACAGTAGATGCTAATGCACTTTGATGAATGAGAGGTTAAAGAAGTAAAGAAAGGGATGATAAGAGAACAGAAAGATGGTCAGAGGAAGTATAAAGAGAGGATGGATCAAGGTAGATAGCTCCCCAAGCCCTGCACATCCCTGGCCATGACCTTGCTGGAATGACAGTGGGATGACAGCCAGCACCTCCCCAGCCATAAAAGCCAGTTCCTTGCCCTCATCATAAAATAACAAGTGCTTCCTCTTTAGGGGAGGGAAGGCAAAGTGGGGTGACTTGGGGGTGGAACCTCAGCACCTGAGAGAGTTTATAAGCTGGGTCTGCAGACCACTGGGCACAGACATCTTCTTCATTCCTGCTCTCTGCATCTACACTCCCAGCAGCATGGCCTTCAGCGGGAAGTACGAGATGGAGAGTGAGAAGAATTATGACGAGTTCATGAAGATCATTGGTAAGTGAACGCCCGAGTATGCTGGCTTGACACAGCCAGCTCTGAGTTAGGGACCTGGGTTTATCAAGTAGAGAAGGACAAGACTTCATTAATTAATATTAACTCACTCATGCATTTATTGATATTAACTTACTAATTAATATTAACCAACTTGCCATTAGTTAATATTAACTCACTCATACATTTGTGCATTTGTGTAGAAACTATTCTGTGCCAGCGTCTGAGGGTAAGCTTTGTCTTGAAAAAGCTCACAGAGTATTAGGATCTCCATTTTACAGATGGAAAACTTGCGGCTCACAGAAGTCAAATTCTAGTTCTAGATCACTCTGCTGGCTACTAATGGTGAGGCTGAGATTTCCTTTGCTTATTCCTTCCACTGCTTCTTGCATTCCCGCTGTATGGCATCCCTATTTTAGTGTTAGAGAGCTCTGCCAGTGCAGTGGTTACGTGCCCAGCTGCCAAGTGAAAGACTGAAGGTCTGGACTGCTAGTCACTCTGCAGGGCAAAGGCGTGGCTGTGTGCTTCGTTATAGTTTGCAGCTTTGGGAGCCCTATGGTCAGCTGTACTCTGTTGTATATATTTACTATGAGTTGGAATAAACTTGAAGGCAATGTGCTTGTCTTGTTCCCGTATCAATGGAGTTACCCAAGATCACATTCAAAAACAATGGTTGATACCATGTTACCACTCAAGACCTCATGACAAGTGGTGTTGCCACATTTTATCTGGACAAGTGCTTAATGTAGAATCCAGGTTCCACAAGCTACTTATTCACTAACATCCCACACTAATCCCCAATTCTCCACATGCAACACTGGTTGAGAGGACACAGCGAGAGAGCGATTTGTGAAATCTCAGTGTACTAAGGCAGTGCGATTTGCCAGGGTTTAGGACAACTGTAGAAGGCCTGTGCTCTATCTCCAAGAGCTGCATCTTGCCTCCAAGCTGGAGAGAGGCTAGAGAGCAGGCCGGCCCTTAGGGAGGTGAGCGCACTGTTGAGTCCATCATGTCAAGTGGTCCCTTTGGGAATAGTGACTTCACTTTGTCCTCCAGAATCCAGTGCTGGGGAACTGAAACTTTGCTTCTGTATTTGGCTTAGCTGTTTCCTACTCTGAAACTCTAGGGGGTCCCTTGCTCTGCACTTCAGCTTCCTTATCCGTAAAGTAAAAGCATGGGAAGACACAGTCTTGAGAACTTTGTGAGCTTGGCAAGTAAGTATCTGTTATGGTTTTATTTACACTTATTTATACTAATATAAATACATGTAAATATATTTTATTTACATGCATTTATGCAAGTGTAAATATATGCAAATAAAATGTGTATGTATATATTAAACAAAATATATTCTGTTAGAAGAATCAAAACCAAACTTGTTGCTATCAAATTGACTCCAGCTTATGTGTCACAGACCGAGCTCCAGAGGATTTTCTTGGTTGGATGTTTTACAGAAGCACACTGCCAAGAATTTTGTTTTGTAGCACTAGTTAGTGTCATTGTTGTTCAGTGCCTTTGAGTCCAGTAGGACTCAGAGCAAACCTACCAACAGCAGTTCACACTTCACCCTATACTATGCCGTTCTCAGTCTCTGCCGTGTTCCAGCCCATTTTTTCAGTGACTCTATCAATGAACATCTTCTCTTTCACTGACTTTTGACCTCTCCCAGCATGTCTTTTTCTAAAGACTAGCCCTTGCTCATGCCCAAAGTAAGTGAGATGTCGTTTCCCCGTCCTTGCCTCTAAGGAGCACTCTGGTTGCACGTCCTTCAAAACAGACTTGTTTGGGTTTTTTTTGCAGTCCATAGGAGATCCAGTACTCTTCTTTCCACCACAACTCACAGGCACTGAGTTTTCTTCTGTCATCCTTTTTCCCTGTTCAATTTTCACATGCACAGGAAGCAGTTGAAAGTACCCTGGCGTGGATCAGGTCCTCCTTAATCTTTAAATTGATCTCATTTTTCTTTAGCACATTGGAGAAGTCTTTGACCACAGATTTTCCCACTGCAACATACCTTTCGATTTCTTGATTGCTGCTAAGATGTAAAATGAAATTGTTAGTAGTAGAAGCAGAGTGTAACGCTTATCTCATTACTGAATAACAACTAAGAATTAGGAGTTTGGCAAGTCACCATCACGTCTAATTTAACTTTTCAATGGCCCTGTGAGACAGACCTTGTCAACCCCATATTGTGAATCTCAACACCGAGGCTTAGAAAGGTTCAAGACCAGAATTTGAAGCTGTCCTTGAAGCACTATGCTGTTGCCCTTCAGACCACCCTGTAACAGGGTTGGAAAGCTTTCCTAGGTACACAGAATTATTAGCAGCTCTTACATGATATTCTGCTTGTCTTCTGTCCAGGGCTCCCCAGTGATGTCATTGAAAAAGGTCGCAACTTCAAGATTGTCACAGAAGTGCAGCAGGATGGGAATAACTTCACCTGGTCCCAGCTCTACCCCTCGGGCCACTCCATGGTCAACAAGTTCACCATCGGCAAAGAGTGCGACATGGAGACCGTGGGGGGCAAGAAGTGCAAGGTGAGCGGCCACACGCCCCCTCTCCATTTCAAACTTGGTCTTCTTGCCTGCAAAACTGAAGTCTCTTCCTCCTGTCTAGCCTTTAACACTAAGAACTTGAGTTATTTGTAACTTAATCTCCTGTTGTTGTTGTTGTTATGTGTCATCGACTTGCCTGCAACTCATAGAAACCCTATGTACAACAGCTCTGTACCCTGTCCTATCCTGAGCCAAGCTCACTGTCTCTGACACACCTACCTTCATTCCTCCACTTATGGTGCCAATCCATCTCATCTGGTATCTTCCTCTTCTGTGGTGCCATGAGCTGCAGGGAGTTGCACTGCTAACATCCAAAGACCATATCTCTCTGTCAGTTTGAATCCACCAATGGCTGCCAGGGAGAAAACTAGGCAATCCTCTCCTGTGTGATTTACAGCCTCAGAAACCCAATAAAGGGTCAGTCAGGAGTCTGTTCATACATGACAGCAATGAGAGCTTTTACAACAATAATGAAGCAGCCAGCATTTCCTGAGCAGTTAATACGTCCCAGGCTCTTGGTAAACATGTATCTCAATGTAGTCAATCCTATGAGGTTATTACAACTGTGGCTGTTGAATGAATTGTCATCAAGTTGGCTCCAGCTCAGCACGGCCTCGAGAAATGCTACCCAGTGCTGCACCATCTCCATAACCATGGTCTGTTCGAGCCCCTTGTAGCTTTTGCATGAGTCCGTCTCACTTTCCCTTCTCACCGGTGCTCTCTACTTCATACCTGATGTTATTTCCTAGCAACTGGTCTTTACTGATGACATGCCCCAAACCAGTCAGTCTTGCCATCCTTATTTCTTTTTTTTTAAATATTATTTTTTTAAAAAAAATTTTATTACTTTTTTGTGTATACCGTCAAATCAGATCTGACTGTTACAGGAGGAGATTGTCCCTCCTTCTTCAGCAGAGCATCTGTTGGATTCGAACTATGCACCTCTGGGATTGCAGTGCAGCTTCTTGCCACTAGGCCACCGAGAAGTTGCCAATTTTTTATTATTTTTTATGTGTGGACCGTCAAGTCAGGTTTGACTGGTACAGAAAGAGATTGGCCCTCCTTCTCCAGCAGAGAATCTGGTGGATTCAAACTGTGCACTCTCTAGGATTGCAGTGCAGTTTCTTGCCACTAGGCCACCAGAGTTCCCATCCATGCTTATTTCTAAGGAACACTCTCGTATTTCCTCTATGACAATGCAGTCTTTCTTCTGGCTGTTCAGTAAAATATCCTTTGACAATCACAATTTGGCTACACCAATTCTTCATACTCATTGCCCAGATTGCAAGTGAATCCGTGGTGATTGAAAAGGACCATGGATTGGATTCTAATCATCATGCAATTACTATCCTCTTCTTATTGTCGAGACAGATGAGCCATGGGATGAAGCCACTTTTCCTCTGTCATGTCATTGCATGAGGAACAGGCCTCTCCACTTTGGCAGCTGGCTCCAGAGGGCATAGCCATTTTTACGCTGCCTTCCAGTGGAGCACAGAGATGAAGGAGCCCGTTAGTTTGAAACCATGTCCCTACAACTGTGAAGTCTCTGTCAAATTGTTCCATCTCCCTTAGTCTTAGTACCCAAGGATGAAAACTGAGAGTAGGTGAGTCCTTGACTCTTTTTTTTTTTTTTTAAATATGGAACTCTTCACGTATTTGCGTGTCATCCTTGTGCAGGGGCCGTGCTAATCTCTGTATCACTCCAATTTTAGTGTATGTGCTGCTAAAGCGAACATCAGTTCTTGACTCTTAAGAGTCCTAACAAACATTTAATATAGAACCACAGTGAGCATAATCATGGAGAGCATGTAATATAGTAACCGTCACATAGTACGTAGTTGGGGAAAACTACAGTTTATTATTGTGTTTCATGTGAAGACAATTGAAGTTCAGGTGAGCAAAATAATGTGTTTAGGAGGGTGACATTTTGCCTCTAAAGGTCAGTCTGTCCCCACTGTGTGCTGCCACTGCAGGGCACATGCTGCCACCATTCAGGACCCAGAACAGTTAGCCACTGACTAACTCAGCCTGGTGGGTCTTTTTGTAAGAAGGCTTTAGTTGCCATGATGAATTCCTGCTAGGTTGACCCCAAGCCAATACATGTGTTTGTGACTTTCCCCAGGAAAGTGTTTCCCAGGCAGTAGAGAAGTAGAAGGTGGCAATCTGTCCTCACTCCATCTAGGCTAGCTTCTCAAGCCTTCGGCTCATTCAGAATCCCTCTGCAATCCTCAACTACGGCCAAGAGTGTATTATGTTCATCAGGCTGCCAGGGAGAAAAAGAAGTCATTATGATATGCATATTCTGCAAATGGGATTAAAAAAAATTAATCTCCTACTGATGTGTCTGTGTCAGTACACAGCAATTTGTCTTATTCTTTGTAATGGCTGAACTATATTCTATAGCATGGAAATATCATCCCTTACTGAACCACTGCCTTCATTGATGTGTACTTAGATTACTCACTAGTGGATAAAGTAGGGTAGGTATGATTACTCACTAGAGGATAAAGTAGGTTAGGTATTAGGTTACTGACTCTTAGAAATAACGCTACAATCTATATCCTCAGATGACATTAGCAGCATCATTGCAATGATGATCATAAATCAGTAGTTCACACTTAAGAAGTGCTTATCCTGGCCAAGTACTGTGCTAAGCATATCTATCTCTATCTATATCATCTCTATCTATATATCTATCTCTAGTGGAATAATGTTTTATCTATTGGTCTGTTCAGACCCACCAGTCAGTCCAAGGTTGAGAAATGGGAAGTCTCCTTCTGTAAAGATCTACAGGAATTAGATGGAGCATAACCAAGAGTTGGAATATATATGTATGTACGTATGTATGCCAGGACACCCATAGATTGGCTATGAAAACATGTCAAATCAAATAAGCACAAAAGAATAAATATCATAGGATTCCACTTATGTGGAGTATCTAGGGAAATATATGGGGACAGAAAGTAGAAATTATCAAGGGCTGGGGAAAGGGGAGGAGAAAAATATGGAGATACATACATATATATATTATATATATATATATACATATATATAATATATATGGAGATACACACTTATGTAGTATACACACACACACATATATAATATATATGGAGATGCACACTTATGCATTATATAAGTGGACGCTTAAGTTGGTTTCACATCTTGGCTACTGAATAATACAGTCAAAACTGGTGTACGAGGATCCGTTTGAGCACCTGCTCAACAGTTTTGCGGCTGTAAATGGAAATGGACTTATTTATATTGCATATGCTGTGCATATTAAATTATTTAATGTTCAAAAAATTCTGTGAAGTAGATAAAATTATTACCCCTATTGTTAAATTATTATCTATTGGAGGATAGAAGGAGAATTGATGCCTTTGAGCTGTGGTGCTGGAGAAGAGTATTGAGGGTACCAAAGACTGCTAAGATTCATCCTGGAAAGGGTTAAACTGGGAGGTTCCCTGGAGGCAAGGATTCTGAGGCTCCATCTAGCATACTTTGGACATGTTGTAAAGAGGGACCGGTCCTTGGAGAAGGACATCATGCTTGGGAGGGTGGAGGGACAGCGCAGGAGGGGAAGGCCCTCTATGAGGTGGATTGATTCAGTGACTGGGATAATTGGGATGGGAGTGTCAGAGACGGTGCGATTGGCACAGGACAAAGCAGAATTTAGGACTGTTGTACATAGGGTCACTATGAGTTGCAAGTGACTCGACGGCACATAACAACAACAACATTTTAGAGATGAGAAAACAGAGGCAGAAACCTTGCACAAGGTTATATGTACACCACTGGATTGATAAAATTGTGTATCTACAAGGTAATTCTTTTGGAGATATGGTCGGATGCAGTTGGGCCCTTTATCCGTGAGGGGCTGGCTAGCAATGGGGGACTCACCAGCTCATTTCATGGTGTACTTCCCTTCCAGGCCACTGTGCAGATGGAAGGTGGGAAGGTGGTAGTGAACTTCCCAAACTACCGCACGACCTCAGAGATTGTGGATGGCAAGCTGGTAGAGGTGAGTGTCTTGCTGGCGCTAGGATGACGAGAACACTTCCTGTCCACACCAGGGGCATCCTGGGTACCCGCCTCCTCCTTCATCAACAGAATACATTTGTGAGGCCCCTCCCCAGCACCCTTGGCCCTGCTCCCATTGTGCTGCCTCTACACTGAGGCCCAGACTTACTTTCACTCCCTCCCTTCCGCTCCATGTCTATACATCCCACACGCAAATCACTCATCACCTTGAATAGAACCCATTTGAAACAATGTCCTCAAACCAGTGAGTCAGTTCCAGAATCCTCATTCTGAACTTCGGGATATGTTCCTTTCCTCTAGAGTGGGCTTGAAGGGAGAAGCCAAATAAACAAGAGTGTGCTCTCCCCACATGTGGGATACCCTCTGCTCAGCTCCCTGGAAACGGCCCATGGTTTTTGAACTGGCTTCACTTTTCCCACCTCCCTTTCTTTGTCTATGTTGTTCCCTCTGTTTTGAATTCCCTTCCCTTTTGTTTTCTCTTCCAAATCCTACTAATTCTACAAGAATCTGTCCAAATGGGAGTCGCTCTTCTCTTCCCTGAACAAAAGTATTTCCTGGTTGCTGTGGGCTCTTCCATACCTCTCCATGTGTTCCCACAACCCAGTTCTCCTTGCTGTGAGAGCCCTGTTTTCCTAAAGTACGTTTCAGAGTCAACTAATGATACATGCACATCCAATGACTGCATGTTGTGCTGGCAGTAGGCCCAGAGCACTGCACTCAGTGGGCTCCTTGCCTGCCCTTCTCCTTAACCTTAGGCTTCCTGTGGGCATGGTCTACCTTCTCCAGCACTGAACACCTAACAAGTGCCCATAGCACTATATGGTGGAATGGTTGACAGTGGCTTCTAGACCTTGAGAGGGCAACTTAACGTCTCTAAACTCATTTCCCCATCTGTACAATGGGTACACCAACACAAAGGTATTGGGAGGAAGATCAAGACAATGCAAAAGAAGTACCTGCCATTGGAATAGACAGCTGAGAGGTTACCTTGCCGAGACCCACATCACTCTTTAAAGTTGGTTAGCACTCTCACCACTTTGAGTCCAACACAGTGACCCAGGGAACAGTTTGTTAAACTGAGACCCAGAGAAGTGGATCAAAGGACTCACAGCTTCTCAGAGACAGGATTGAATTTTGTGTTTGTTCAGTTGCACCCATGGTGCTGAGAGATCCCAGTCTAACCTGGGCACTAACTCCCTCTGTTATGGCTGCTTCTTTCAGATCTCAACCTACAAAGATGTGACCTATGAGCGTGTGAGCAGGAGGCTGGCCTGAGACACCAGACTGAGACCCACAGGGCCCTAAAATGCACTAATAAAACTGGTGTAAAACAGACCCTATGCTCTCCCAGTCTCCTTGTTTTTGTTGTCAGGTGTCTTGGGGCAGCTTCTGGCCAGTGGGACTGGGATACGTATTAAGGATGGCCACAGGGGTCCACATTGGGTAAGAACGCCCTGTGAGATCTATGTCAGGGCAGAATCATGGAAAGGTCATAGATGACCCTCACAGAGTGGGTGCACTTCTGGGGAACTTATATCCATTTTGTCCCTCACCCCTTTGAGATCAGCCATCCTCAGCTCTTGGGTTGTGATGCCATGCTCTTGGAGACACATGTCCCTGATCACACACTGACAAGTCGGTCTCAGGACAGGCAGGTCAGGGCTTAGCGTGGAGATGGCAGTGATGCCAGGAATGGGCTTAAGATTTTAGACTCCAAGCCTGAGTGAACGCTGTCCCTGATGGACAAGACTTTGACCTGAGCCAGGGAACTTGTTCCAGCTCAGCTGTGGCTTCGTCATTAACTTGTGGGAGTTTAGGCAAGATTCGGTTTACTGACAGGTACAAAGTGAGCTTGGAAACCAGTGAAGGACTGAGGGAAACGGGCATCTGGGAGATGGGGAAAGAGCTGTAGGGTGATAGGAAGTATATGCCTGAGTCTTCACTTTCATTTCTTCTGAGTATATCCATGCAGTTGGAATTGCTTGTAGTATATATACTATTTTTAAAGAATTTTTCGTTTCATAGCTCTACCAAGATTTACTCTCATTTTAGAGGTGAGAAAATTGAGGCACAGAGAGGTGAAGGGATGCCCAGGGTTGGACTAATGGGGGCCTTGAATGGGGACCTGGGAAGAACGTCAAGAGGCAGTGGTGGGCTGGCGAAGGTAGTCGGAGTATAGCCGTGGTGGGTGCCTGCGCGTGGGGAAGGGAGCCAGCTGAAAGGAGAAGAGTGGGGGGTTCAAGATAATCATCCTCTTCCTTATGACTCAGGGTGAAGTCTCTCTCAGGGAGGAGAGATAGGGAATGGTAAAGGACACACTGACAAAGGAGATTAATCAGAACTGGCTTCGACAAGCACTGTGGCAATTGGACAATTAAAACAGACATGGGCGGGGGGAAGAAGAACGAACTGGGGAGGAGGGTAGAGAAAACAGTGCAACAATGAATGAATGAAAACGCAAAATCTCTGTAAATGTTCACTAAAACTAATAAAATTTGATAATAATAATAATAAAAAGATACTCATCCTCAGAAATGGGTCACCGGGGGTCGGCATCAACTCAAGGGCAGTGGGTTTGGTTTCTGGTTTCTGTACAAATATAAAGGTACACATGCCATCGACCCTTGGGAAGGAATCTGGGGCTGCACTGGGTCGCAGTAGACAGCCTGTACCTGCTGGTGTGTCTTCCCCGGGCACAGAAGTGGAGAGAACGGCCTGCTTGCCCTACCAACTAACCTCTAACCCAGAGAATCAAACAGGCTTTTCTCCACTCTCCTCTCTCCTGGGGCCTTGGCCGCATCCGTCGACCGCCTTGATTTCTTCAACCCAGTTTTTGGCAATTCATTTATTTTGCTTCACTGGTAACATTATATTATCTCTTTACCTGAGAAGTTTGACACAAACAGACAAAATCTATTTAAAACCCATAGCGGAAGGATATATTGATGTCTCACTGCATTCTGTGGTCTGTCTGAGGCATCCCCATGTGAAAAGGGTGAGGAAGATGCAGAAAACTCGGAAATGTTCTCCCTGGGAATCAAAGCCCTGACATAGTTTTGAAAAGAACATACCTAGTAGGAGAGGTGAATTACCTAAGGCCAATAGAGCTTAAATTATCTCAAATGTCATCAGATGCTCTAACACAACATATTTGGCACAAGAATGCAGATTTTCTCAGAGGCTTCCACGGTGGCTAACATACAGGAGGCACTTAGTAAGTGCAACCTCACCTGAGGTCTTTCCAACTCTGGCACCTGCGGTCTTTCATCCTCATAGGCAGCCTTAACCTGAACAGATGGGGCAGCCCGACCCACAGGCAAGGCACTCCTTGTCTCGCCCGGCATCGTGCCTGAAACCTTGTTTATTTTTCCAAGAACAGCACTCAGCCTCTCCTCCCTCCCCAAGCCAGGACCCCACGAATTCCATCATTTTGCCAAGACTTATTGCTAATTAACTGAACTAGGTAAGCATTAAATTAAACTAGCAATGTTGCTGTTTCCCCTCCAGACTGAATAATTACTCATAATGAGCTTGGATAATAAGTCTCTAACTAACGGAGAGTTGACCGTAATTAGGGTGAAAATTGAGAGATAGACAGAGAGGGAAGGATAGAGAGGGGTGAGCAGAGCAAGATCAAGCAGGATTGCCAGAGAGAGAGGGAGTATGGAGGAGGGAGGGAGAGGAGGTAAATGAGAGAGATTATGTTCATTTTTGTGATTAATTAATGGAAAAAAATAAAATTCTTGGCAGGTAGAAATTCTTAACCCAGGGCAAGTGTACTAATTCAGGTACTACGGAGCTCTGGGGGCCCAGGGTAAGAAGGCTGTGCTGCAATCTCAAAGGCACACAGTTCAAATCCACTATTTGCTCAGAGGGAGAAAGATGAGCAATCTCCTGTGTGATTTACTGCCTGCGAAAACCCTCTAGAGTGTCAACTAACATGAAACAACAAAGATATTCCAACGGAGCTCGGGTGGCCTTGTTGGTACTAGGGAGTGGCGCTGCTAACACAGAGGCAGCTCTCTGCTGGTCTGAATCCACCAGCAACTCCATGGGGGCTTCTGAAAAGTCAGCTGTACGTTTCAACTCTATTGCAGTGAGTTTGCGTTTCTTGAAAGGAATTCCAGAATCTCCGTAGTCAAAAGTGCAAACCCTGCATTTCATTGATTTGGAAACCAAGGTTCTGAGCAGGGAAGAAATGCACTCAAGGTCACACAGCAGGGTGAATCTCTAATAGCAATGTGGGTCTGGGCACTGCTGGCTGATGGAGGCTCCAGCTTCTCAGCTGAGTTTATGAAGCAGAGACAACTCCTCAGCTCCTAGCAGAGGCAGTGGGTAGGAGCTTCTGCTCAGGCTGGATTGCAGGGTTTAGCTTCCTCGTCCACTATTCAGTAGTTTGTAGTGTGGTCACTCTGGGCCACACACATCCTTTTCTCTGAGCCTCAGTTTCCTCACATGTAAATGGGGTAATGGTTATACTTATCTTATCTAACAGAGCTGCCAATATATAAATGCTAGCTGCTGCCACCACCCTACCGTCACTCCCAAGTTAGTATTAAAGGGGAATCTTTAATTAATTAAGAGATCAGTGCTAAAGGACTCTGCCATTAACTTGAGCAGGCCACAGAACTTCTCCGAACCTCGGTTTTTCCATGTGTAAAATGAGGTAAGGGAACTCCCTCCCCCTATTGTCACAGAGGAGTTGCAAGATTAAAGGTGAAATTGTGGGCTAATTATTTCCCAAATGCTTGAGGAATCTTTTCACTTTGCTGTTCTGCCCAAGAAGCTATAGGGACTCCATACGTCAAAGACCTAAATTTTTGTGCCTTTAGTCCAAGTTTATGACTTTCACCTTGAACTTTGGGGGTCACCACTTCTTCACTCCAGCCAGTCACCCTGAAGACATTGACTGCACAAAGCATCTTCAAAGACCGCCACTAGGTGGTGCTCAATCACACCTGCCCGCCGCCCACGAGCTCAGAGACTGGGAGGGTTTGGGGGCGGAGGGGTAGGGAAATTCCGAGTGCCTCGTGTGGGTGTCTGGTGACATGGTATGGAAGGCTCCTTGGTCAGGCACATTAAGTTAGACAAGTAAGGAACCCCAAACTCAAATTCTTTGCCATCAAATCGGAATCCACTCATTGCTGACCCTCCATCGGGTTTTGGAAATTGTAAGCTTCAAATTCGTTGTTCATTGGGTAGTATTCAACGTGAAGGCACCTAACAAGAACAAATCACATAGGAGGAGATTGCCCATCTTTCTCCTTTGGAGCCGCTGGTAGATTTGAACCTCCGGAGAGGTGCTTCCTTTGGGTTAGCAGTGTGCAACCACACTATTATCCAAGACAGTTAAAGGGGACCCTTACAGATAGAGCTGAAGCGAACTCAAGTTAAGCCCAGAGCCTCACCTGAGTCCCCAAAGAACAGAGAGAGGCTCACTTATCAACATGGAGTTCATCGCAAAACTAACAGAAATGGAGTTAGGACTTTTCTCTAGGGTACCCAGTTAAGAAGAGGAAGTCAGACTTTCCACCTCAGACCCAAAGCCCTTTCGTATAATACACTAGAAAGTTTAAGTGTCTGTTCAAGAAATACGATAACCTTCTCAACAAGTTTATTTGCAAGTATACTTCACTTTTCAAAAGTTCTCTTCCACCAAATAACTTTTATGAAAGACCTACGTTTGTACCTGTTTTCGTTAACCGAAATAAATCCAGCGAGGCTTTTCGGTTCTGCGAAAAGTAAAACTTAGCAGTGAGCGTTTATTTTTGCGGTGAACCATTAGAGAGTCAGCCTGTGTCCTAGGCTGCAAGCAGGGAGCCAGCTGCCGCCCGTCCCCCTTCCCTGGGACTACGGGACGCTCAGCACCCGAGTCCCAGCAGGTCCTGGCAGCTTGAACTATGTATGTGAACACTCTATGTTAGCGCTCATTTAGGGTTTTGTTACCAGTTATGGTTTGATAGGTTATTACTTTGGGCTTGGAAACATGAAAACACTTCCCCCATATGGTAGTTATTTCTGTGCTTCATGACGTTTGGGTTTAATGAAAGGTTTCACAGGAACACTCGCAGCTATTGGGGGAAACTTGTATTTGATGACATTGAAATCTTTTTGGCGCTGTGAGGAATCTATGTTCAACAGCCTTAGGAGGAATACGGTTTCAGAGTCTGGCAGGCACCAGGTCACTGTCTCCATGGGTACAGTCACCTTCCCCCATACTGCTCTGGTTGTGTCAGGTTCGCCACCAGGAGTCAGGGTATTGTGCGTTGCTTTGT